CGGACTTGATCGTTGATGCACAAGATGGTAAACAATGAACATTCACGCCATGCTAGTCACGTATTGCCGAAATTATCTTGAAAGCTCAGGTTGACCCAGCAGTCGGGCATTAGTAGTGAATCATATTCATTATTTACTATTCGATATCGACGTCTATAACACAAAGCTGGTGATTATAATGCTCTAGCAGTCGTCGTCACCAGAGAGTGCAGACGATTGAATTTATGCTCATTGACGAAGGACCAATTTAAATGACTAACATTCACAAAAACTCTTCAGTCACCACAAGATGCCGAGACTAGGATTAGACTTTTAGCTTGACTGGATCTGGATTCAAACGTCAAAATTAAAACGCTGACAGATGATAGTAAATGGCCGAAAAACATCAGATGCGAAAATGAATTGGTTGAACGGCTAAATCCGAATTCGACTTGTGGTAGTGTCAATGCTATTACCAGGCTAAAGTCTCGGAAGCCGAGAAAATTGGGAAAAACACACAGTGAACAGAATACTGATTGTTCATTATTGTGAAGTTAAGATTAGGTAGGATTCCGTTCATTTAGGAAGCTTGAATGTCAGATGTGCTACAGGCGTGGACATAAAGAAGATCATTGTCAGCCAGATCGTACGTCACGACCCAAGAAGAAACATAGTCGTCGCTGACAAATGATGAAGTCAGACGAGTCTACACCAATTTCAGTTTTAGCAGTTTCTAGAACGGATTACGGCATAAGAAAGAGGTATGTTACAATCTAATTAACAAAATCTCATCACCTCTTTAGACTGATACGGCATTCGACATCACTCTGGAATCCATAGAGAAGGTTAATCCGCATTGGGGGGCTCCGTAAGTAAAGTCATCTACAAAGACTGATGAAAAGCCATCAATAGGATTGCTAAAACTTGTTAGCGAATTACAGTGTGAATTTACTCTCAATGAAATCAAATCGAAGAAGTTGCTTAACATAACAACCGAATCTTGATCATTTTCGGTCTAGATATGTTGTAAAAACTCAGAATAACGGATACACTTATTAGCAGTGTCTCCGGTGTGTTATATTTGTCACGGGATATTCGACATTTGCGTAAGAGACAGCGAAAAACTGCTAAGGAATCTATGCGGAAAGTTTTATTCAGTTTTCCAGAAGAGCCTTGACCACTGCACCAAGATGATATCTCATTTACAATTGAAACCAAATGCTGATCCTGACTTTCAGTCGAAACATATTGTGTCGTATACTGCTCCTAGACACGTCAACCAGAAACTTTATTGTTCGCAACAGAGTGGTATAGTTCAACTAGTCAACTATTCTTCAGAGACCTCGCCTATGATTGATACCAAGAATGCCAGTGAAACTATACAAATGCGTGTTAACACCTTGCCCGGTGTAAATGTTACACTGGGTGTATATCAGTATCCGTTAATGTTTCTTGAGGACCTCTTTGCTTAGCTAAATGTCGGGACATTTTTTGCGAAGATGGACTTTTCCCATGCCCATCTGTCGTTTGAAGTAGTTGATGATTGTGGAAAGCACCTAACTATCAACTCTCGTCGAGAGATATTTCAATATACCCGCCCATCACTCTGCATAAAGACAGCACCTTCCGACTTCCAGAAAATAATGGACACGATGTTAATAGATATACCTTCAACAGCAGCTTATCCAGATAATATCACTGATATGGGTTCAACTGACAGTGAATTTTCTGGTCGACTACATCAAGCTTTCAACCGAGTGATCGTGTATGGTTTCCAACGACATGAGGAAAAGTGTAGTTCATGAAGTTGATCAAATACCTACGTTTAATCTTAAATAAGAACGGTCGCCGACCAAACCCTGCTAGCACAAAATGTATTCAGCTATCTGCACCAGCTGATGTTCCTTCACTATGATCCTTCTTGAGTCCAGGTAGTTATCATAACACATTTATCCCTCAAGTGGATGGCGAGAGGCCCTTGAATCAATTACTTTCAAAAGCCAAACTCCAGTGGTGGCAAATGGAATTTCGGCTATCTTTCAACCAAGTCAAATAAGCTCAACGCTTAACCTAACTCATTTCCACCCCTGCTTGGCGACTGATTTTGCATCTGAGGAGTTGGAGAGGCGAATTTTCTGGAGACATCAAGAAAAATAATTGGTTATGCTGCCAGGCCCCTCACCTCGGCCGAGTGGAACTACATCTAGATTGAAAAAGCGGCCGTCGCAGTTATATTTGCTGTTAAACGTTTTCATAAAATCCTCCACAGTGATTTTTTCACCCTACTGATAGACCCTAGCCCTCTAATTTCAATTTTTAGGTCCAAAAATAGGACTTTTTATCTGCTCAGATAACAGATTACGGCGCTGAGCAACAATGCTTCTGAACAATGACTTTAATATCAGGTGCCAGTCAAAGATCACCATCGGTCATGCCGATACTGCCTCTCGATTGATTGGATTTCAACACCCTCGACTTGAGAACACGATCATTCTCTCCATAGCACCCAGTTGCAAGCTGCATAGTCAGAAAGCTACGCCAACTACTCAATCGTTTCTAGAATCCAGAGTTAATAGTTAAGGACAATGGGACACAGTTTACGTCTGCTATCTTCGAGTTTTGTTAGTAGGGAGGAATTAATCATATCTGAACACCTTCATACCATGCTCAATCAAACGACCAAGTACAACGCTTTGTTGATATATTTAAAAGTGCTCCGCGAAAATCAAAGAGAGGAGGAAGATTCCTGCTCATCTATCATTCTACACGAAGCCCTCAGACAATAGACTTGGTCGCTTCAGCAAAAGCTTCGGTTGCCTGAAAAATACGGGAACACTTCGGTAAAATTTTTAAAAGCCAACTCTTGAGCCTTAAAGAAATAGATCGGTAGAGAATCAACTCAGTAGACATCATGAGGAGCAAAGACAGTTGTTCACTGTGAGTCAAAACGTACTTGCTATGGACCATCGTGTAAAGCATTTTTCATCGATAGTTATTCTAATAGTCACCAATTTAATAGATGGTACACAAAATTCAAATACTAAAAGTCTTCTGCATCTTTTTGGCAGATTTCAGTTTCCTAAGGAGGAGGTAATACATTTTACATCCATGTCTATGGTTCACTAAAGCTAGTTAAAGGTTTGCCCTCCAACACACCTGCCGAAATAGTACGAATTCATAGGTTTACAAGCCGTATGAAATCGTCTCAGCAAGTTGGATGGTTGATGAACTTTTCAAGAATTAAATGGCCTCGCTCTCGCTACGACTTAATTTACTCAATCTATAAAATGGAAACCCCAGCAGTTGGATTTTACTTTCATGTCAGTCATGTTCCCGGAATTGTAATGACATCCGTTAGATTACCTGGTAAACTGTTTGCTGTGGATGTGTTTAGACTACCAAATCAACAATACTAGAGCTATCTATCAATTCGAGAACTGATCTAACGTAAATAATTTATTTTCCCGATCTCACTAATATAAATAGACATTAAAATATTATATTGCACAATAACCAGACAACTAAGGTTTCCAAATATCTGTTACACAGTAAAACTTCGCATAATTTCAAATGAATCATGTATCTGCTTTTAAGATAGTCATTCCTCACACTGTAACACAACAGTGACGAATAATCACCAAGAAATCATAGTCTGACAACTAGGAGAATTTCGACATTATCGAATGAGAACTGATAGCTTAAACGTCAGCTTGGATGACAACATCAGTGTCTTGTACGTCAGCTGTGTCACTAGGTTATGCCCCTTCTTTTACCAAATTAGGGACATTATTTCAACAAAAGTTAGCTCCCTTCACTCACTCAAGCACAGTGATTTCGTGATCGTTTAGCTCCGAGACTTAGGGATATAGTAGACATTCAGGATTGAGGCCGTTTATGTTGATCTCTGAAGACCGTCGTTTAATGCTATCAGAGATCCTAATATTGAGGCAGGAATAAATTTCGATTACATTAAGCTTATGAACCTCTCCTAATTGTAAATCATGACCCACAAAAGACGTATGGATAGTCAATCATCATTACAAACAGCAGACCTGATAGAGAAAGTCTTTGCCATTTCATTTACAATAAAGATTACACAAGTATTTGCAGTTTGACAACATCTTAGACAGCAATACCTATAATCGGAACTTACCAACCCAATAAAATCAGAAGTCAGGAGCAAAAGGGTTCGAAGATATATTTGATAGGCTACCAATATATCGAGAAGTGACTGATCTAAATTGACTAACGGTTGTAGGAGAAGTTGAGCACAGCATACTCACTTGTAATCTAATACGGATGTGTAACCGAGTGCCTTCAGCTAGGTGAGTCCACTAAAACTTATGTGATCAGCATCAACTTTCGAAGACTTACTGAGCTATTGAGTTTGGGGATTTATTTACCGTTACAACAACACTTAAGGAAGCCTAAAAATTTTCCACAGACGAATTACTCACCACTCTTACTATAGAACATAAAGATGCCACAGATATTCAGGGCTTCACGACTATTTTGTCTGTGATACTTTTATTATCGAATGATATCAGCCCAGTCAAATAAGAAGTCTGGGATGAACGAGTCTGGATATATACTTGGAAGGTTGTCGATATGTCGAAAAGTGTTTGATATAAGCTGGCTGATAGGAGGGATGTGTAGCACGGTGTACCCACTCGTGTTCTGGTGTGGAATTTATGGTCAAACTCTTTCAGCTAGGGTGTGTTTAGTAAAACTACTGAGGTCAGCATCGATCTTATTTGGGGATTTATTTGCCGCTACAAACGCGGTGTAACTATATACACTGCTTTTTCGTATCTTAAATAACGAGCTGCATATTAACATGTCTCATCCACTTTCTCTATTCATAACCAATCTTCTGGGATACTATACGAAGGTTCATTAACCGCGATCAAATAAATTGGGAGTTGGATTCTGTTTACCTTATTGGGTGATCGACGACTAGGATGTCCTACAAGAATAGCTAGTATTCACCCTAACACAATTTTTGGAGAAGAAATGGGTTTCTTTTGTGAAAAAGCCTTAAGAACTAGCATAAGTGACTTAAAATACTATTTTTTATCAGAGACTAAAGACTAAGATATTGAATTCCCAAATACGACCACTATTCAAAAGATAAGTTACCATGTGCATTTGACGGTAATGTTCCTACTTAACTACTACAGTTATTTCACGCCTTAGGTAATGTGAAGTTGACGTATTCCATGTTGAGTGTAAACAATTCCCAAGTCAGAAGAGATCTGGGGATTTTGTTACCTTATGATCTAGAGTTTTACGCTAACAAAAATGCTTTTCAAGCAAACCTTGCACTGGTGACTTTGGAGCTCATTTTTGGCTAGTTTGACGGTAAAAATTTCCACTTAATCTTCAGCAGTTTTATTCGACTCCATTTAGAGTGAGAATCTAGTGTTTCCTCTCTCTTACAGTGGAACGTATCCGATGGAGAGCCACGGAATCAATCTGGAGACTTAAATTCCAGCCTTATAAAGAGCGTCTAAAGTCACTAGCCCTTTACCCGTTAGATTATAGGCGTCTCAGAGGTAACCTAATGACTTACAACATACCAAACACCTGTGGTCATCCCCTTAAGTACCTACTTAAGCTCAGTCCCAACACATACCTTAGGGGTAATACTTAGAGGCTGGATGCACATTATGGAACAGACCGTAGGCATACCTTTTACTTTTTAAGGGTAGTCTATTGCTGTAATTCACTGCCGGTCGAGCTGGTTCATGAGACTTCCTAGGGGTCCTTTAATTGAGGATTTAACATATTAAGAACTAAGGACAGTATCTCTCTACAATTTAATTATGTTTTTTCTCTTATCGTCAAATATACTTAAGTTCCTACCTGGCGACATCGGTGACCCACTGCTACTAGATACGGAAGCTCGTTAAACAAGTCTATTCCATCCAGAACTATCATATTTTGCTACTAGCATATGGGTTGGAAAGTTCAGTCTGCAGTTGGGGCTATATTTCTAAAGTCCACCTGAGAATAGTGAACTTACTCTTTAAAATGTATGGTTCGTGTCTGAAATTGTATGACCATTATTATCAAAATACTTGGTACTTTAATTTGGAATTACAACTCATCACTACATTCAAATGTCTTAGTCGACATGTAGAATTTCAAGTACCTCTACTTCAAAATCATAGTGCTGTTTGACCATCTTTCTGTTTTTTCACGTACATAGTCCTAGTCAAACAAAAAGGAAAAATCTCTAAATGACTTCTCGTTTTATGCCTGCGATTACCAAAGTATTCCGCGTCACTAGGAAAATTAGACATTTGCCTAAATACACATCAAGTAAACCTTTATTTCAGCATTTTTGTTTGCTTTGCGTCTATCAAAATTATTATATGACCCGCTGACAATGTATGTTAACCTCAGAAATCAAATTAACACAAGACAAATACTTGAATTGGTCCGAATAGTAGTAGAATCAACGATGAGAATCTTAAAAATTAGGATGTGTATGGAATGAAGTAACGATAAACCCAGGAATTAGGATGACAAATAAAGTGAATCCATCTACTACATGTCACTTCAACCACTGATTGGGATCGTCGCTTGAAACTCAAGCAAGATTTCTGTGCCTACAGACGCCGTTCACTTCAATAGTCGGTGATTTCATAGGCTGATGTTGCGCTTTGTCTTGGCTACCCCTAGTTTCTTTTCGTCCTATTCCTATACCAGCTAACATTGTTTATCAAAACAAGCGGTAGTTAGGTCTATTCCGAATGTCTTAGCCACTTCAATCCATCTAGGTTCCTAACCTCACCAGCCGAATTCTCATCTTTCCTTCATACTTTTGCTCATTCCACAGAATTTCAGCAATGCTTCTCAGATACATGTGATCCGAAACTTTCAGTCTGCGCATATTTTCTACCTTCAAAGACCATGCCCCACAGCCATATTCCATAACAAGTAGAATTGATGCTAAACTAACTCGCCCATCAGTTGGGGACGAGTTTTCTCACTCATGCTACAAGTCACAAATTGGCAGACGCTAACCGATCTCTCTAAATCGGTGTTGAGGTCTCGTCGGATACCAACCTACCAAGGTTGACGAAATGTCTAGGATAGGTGAAGTAGTCAATGCATTCGACCACTTCACTGTTTATCACCTATTCTAGCTTTGATGTGAATTAGTCCTGCAGCAACATTTTGGACTTCGAAGAAAATTCACTATATACATTGTTTCTCAAAATGACCAAAAGGTTGGATTTTATCATGATCTTTGCCAAATAGGATTGTCATCTGCGTATTTCGGTATGAGATCAACTCCTGAAAAGTCTGTTGAAGAAAGTGTTATTTCTAGGACGCCGGTGGCGAAGTTTAATAGAGACAGTAGAGAGTCCTGACAAATGTCGATTCAGATTGACAATTACTCATAAGTTCTGACCCAATCAATAATGTTTGGTTAAAAACCTCAACTTCTTTGTGCTTCCTTGATACGCCTTCAAATAGAAAACTTAGCTATAAAATCTCGGTCAACAGATTCGAACTTTACCTTAAGACGAGAAACCGCAATTATCTGGTGTCACTAAGTAAGTTTATTTTCTAAAACCTCGTAAGTAAATATTCATTTCGGAAACCAACTTGGTTTCCACAGTATCTGCTCTGCGCACAGGTTAAACGTCAGATGACCATGGAAACTAGTATCTTAGATAGTCAAAATGTCTCTCCTGTGGTTATCACGGAATTCCTGTCCTTTCATGTATATAAAAATGATCATAGATCGAGGCCAAATGGCATTATGTTCATCTCTCTAACTTTGTCTAATACCTCAATCAGCTTAACAGTTGAAAGTGGACCACTATCCTTGAAGATCTTCAGGGTTAACACATTAGGGTCTGCTGCTCTCCCTCTTTAGATTGTTTAAAGCCTCCGACCTCATCAAGCGTTGGGAGACTTGCGTTTACTTTTCCTTGTTTGTTTGCGGATAATGGATAACTAGGTTAGTTAAAATAATCCCTAGTGTTCCGTTCACTTGCTCAATCTCCTCGTTCATAAGTGAATAGTGATCTCTTTTTTGAAGCAGTCTCACAAACAGCAGCCTTCTTAGAACTTGTTTAATTAAGTTGTGGTCGTTTAGTATTACTTATCGCTTCTAACTCTCTTATCCTTTTCTGTTAGGTGTTTTAACTGATCATCTTCATTTAAGTCGTTAAAACCTCACTTTTCCATCTCCCGTCTTTATTTGCCCATAATTTTTCTTCCTCTTGTTTTCTGTTGTTGGCATTATTATTTCCGTCCCTCTGATATCCTCTCGTTGTAATAATAAATTAAAATGATTCGGAATTGTATACATTTATGTCGAATTATACCGTTTATTTTGCGTTAGGTTAAGGTGTTTATTTTTTTCATCTTATTTGTGGTTAACCTTTCGAATAATCCATGTGTTCATTATAATTTCAGACCTAATGATTCAAGAATCGACATCTGTTTGTGTTGTTTTTAGTGGAAAAAGAAAGTCAGGCAAAGACTACACTGTCAATCGTCTGACTAATCTGCTCCAATGCAATCATCTTTCTTGTTTAGTGGTACGAATAAGTGAGCCAATTAAGTCGTATTTTGCCGAACATTATGGATTAGATTTGTCGGAATTATTATCCTCAAATGAATATAAAGAAAAATATCGAAAACAAATGATTGATTGGATGGAACAAGAAATAAAACAAGACCCTTATATATTCACTAGGAAATCATTGCTTGAAAGTATTAGACGATGTGGCGTACCTCATCCTGATATTATCATTGTCTCAGATGCTAGAAGAATAAATGATGTGGACTACTTCATCAGGACATTCGGTCGATCCAAATGTTTGTTAATACGTATTGTTACGCCTGTAGAAACTAGAATCGAACGGGGTTGGTCATATGTTGATGGGGTTGATAATGCTATGTCAGAGTGTGGATTAGATGAATTCACTTGTTGGGATTACATTGTATCAAATGATGAAGATGAAATTGCATTTAAAAACCATTTAAACGATATTGCTGCACGCGTCAAAGAATTGCGAAAATTATCCTAATGCTTATTATGCAGTTATTGATAATAATGTTTGATGCAAGTGTAGTCGTTCACGTTTTGTGGACAATTCTTTCAACAGGTGTTTACAGCAACAGTGTTGAAACGTACTTTTGAGCAGTATCGCAATTAAAAGAGTTTACTTCTCGAATGATCATTATTCCGGCCACAAATTTCCAGATTGTTTGAGAAATGAAACTTGTTTGGTTATTGGAAATAGGATACTGATCTACTTCAGAAACTCTTAGTTGACTCATATCTAGATTTATCTATTTATGAGATTGTTCCTGCATAACTCGTGGGATCGGACTATGAAACTCTCACGATCAGATATGATACTTAATGTACATCAGATAATCAATGTCTTCATTTTTAGTAAAATCAATCTTTTTTCCTGCGTATGTCGCTCATCATTTTCATAATACACTTTTATAGACATACTCTTTTTGTACTATTGAGACTATAATATTTGCCATAGATTCAACTTCGTTATTGCTTATTCTAAAAAAATGTTAATTTCAGACGAATTCACTATAAATAGTGACTGGTTAAACGTACATAACACATCTTAATCATCTCAGCTGATAAGGATTTAATTTGTTCTCTAACTTGTATTTAGTTAATTACTACATTTATATTTTATAGAGTTATACAATGAGGTAGTAACCTGTTGCTTAATTTCAGATTACGCAACACAAACTTTATGCTCGAGTCTCTCCTAAGAACTATTAATTTATTAATAGACTTTTCCCAATTGGTGGTGTTACTTAGGTAGTGGTGTAACCGTTTTTGTATTATTTGTTTGAATCTTCCCATTTATGTTTCGGACTGCAATTGGTCAGTCTCTTATTGGCAGCTGCTTGGGGCGAACGGTACTAAGTTCGAGTTCCGCCGTAAACACCAACTCGGGTGCAGGTACGTCCAGCTGACGAGTGCCGAATTGGGCGAAACATACGTACTGGATCCCACTGGTAGCCATCATTCATCTTTTCTTACAACCACTTGTTGATATTAGACTATGTACTATCCAGTACACTTCATTAACATATCTTTAGGTAGAATCCTCATATTGTCCTTAATTATACGTTTAAAATTCCTTCATAGTACTTACTCTACCTAGTTGAGCCATTTCAAAAGTTAAGAAAATAAAGTATTCATTTGGGTTATCACAGTGAATAATCCAACTCAGGGTAAATCGTAAAATTATTTTGAACTAACTGCAACACATTTGCTGAGCACATGTGTATTCAGCTTTGAATGGCGCTTTCTATTTAAGAGCTAATGATACTATTCTGTCGCCCAGACTGAAATAATTGGAATGAATTCTAAAGCCTAAATAGTGCTAGTCTTAAAAAACTGTACGGAACGAAAGATAGTCACAAATTAAGAGACCATTTTCAAAAGAATAGCCATCTCTACTAATCGATGCATTTAATCATCTGGCTTAAAGAACTCAACATATTGACAGTACAGCAAAAGCTTTTATTGTTAAAATATGTATATTCGTTAATAGCTTGAATATTCATTGGGAATGTCATAAAAGTTAGTTAATGAATAATTATAGAAGTGAGTTATGTAATGATAAAAGAAAAATACTGAAATAGAGTATAACAAGGAGGTATGTGGGAACATAATTAATTCATAGTTCAAATCATGAACCTATCCTAGACCATCATTGCAAATCAAAGAGCACTGGACAGTTGTTTCATCATATTATGAGACTCAGCATTGTATGCCCAATACTACACAACCCGAAAGAGTTGGTTTCGGTACCTTGTGGTGTAGTCATAGGCATACACTGCTGGGTATTACACTAGGACGAAACAGCTGTTCAGTGGTTTTTTATCTGCTGTGGTGGTCTAATTAAGATCGGTTTATCATTTGAACTACAAGAGCTCTATAATCTTTACTTTTTAATGGAAAAAACTCACTTACTGTTAGAAGATCGATGAAGCAGTGGAACTATGGAGGTTGAGATCATTGTAATAAAAGTCTGAATAGATTTCTTTTGTCTGCATAGTTTTATCATTTCTAGATTCATGAAAAAAGCTTCAGTAATCCATAGGAGACAGAATTTCAGTGTTTCTATGCGCTATATCGGTAACTTTTAACAGTGAGAATGTTTTTATCGGATTACTCGTGTTCACAAGGCGTTTTCAATTACCAAGCTTTCTATAGTTAGGTTTCCTTTTTAAATATCTAGTCTGTCTTCAAATTGTTCATGGTCGTTAACTAATACATACCGAAATAATTGTCCAAAAGAATTATGGGATACTTCATGTGTGTTCACTTTTGATACAGAAACTATTAGTATATCGTTCAAGATCTATACAAATATTGAATCCAAGAAAGTACCTGATCAATAAACCTCTAGAAGGTTTGTACACGAAAATTGTAGTTTCATAATTTAAAGGTGAATAGGTCGTCTGCATTGGATTCAGCTATACTATTTGATTTTTTTAAAATGTAATTTCATAAACTAGTTAAATATACATTTTACAATATCTGCTCCACAGCTATTAAACCACTAAAGTTATTGTTCAGTTTATTGTCACCTAGAATGTAAGTTTAAGAAACACTAGTCTACCGCACTGATGGATGAACTAGTCAAACTACTGGATGATTACAGTGGCTGAATGCTATTAACAAATATAAGTAAAACATGAATTTGTTTCCTGAATTAAGTGTATTTTAATAGTTGAATTCATGAGTCGATTTAAGCTACACCATCATTGAAAACTTGGAAATACTGAACGGCCATTTCATCCTAATGTAGGACTCTTCAGCAGCGCGCATCCACGATCCCACACTCAGAACTCGAACCCGTAACCTTTGTTCTCTTGCGTGAACGCTTGACCTGTGGATCACTGAGTCGGCATCCAATGGTGTTAATGTCTAACTTCAATGCATTTATGATCTTGTGGTGATTTAGCTAAAATGGACTTATGAATTCAACTATTAAAAGTGATTATTACCAGATACGAGTGAAGTTTATAAACCAAGTTTCTAAATAAAATACAGTCCTTCACTACTACTTGAGACAACTAATGTTTATAAGGAACTTGATATATTGTCTAATTCAAACTGATAACCTCCGAATAACTAACTGAAGTTACTTTGCCAATATATCTCGGTGTCCGTCTATTCAATCAGCATGGAATTTATTTCCACAGATGTATAATGGAAATTTTTTCAGTTTCATTTATTCATAAAGACTAAATTTATGGTGAAAGAGAAAAGGTTGAATAAATCTTAATATAAAGAAATTTCTCGTTAAGTTAACTAGTAAATTACTAATCATGATTTTTCCGTACACGCAATAGAAACGTATTTATTAATGTGTACAAGTTTTGTTTCATTTATAAATGTACCACACTTAAGATAACATGAAAAGACCAACATTATTATTATTATGACAGATTTAAATAGAAAATCATAGTAATGATATCCAGATAGGACGAAAGAGACTTTATACAGTTTTTGCACAGTACTAACATTTAGTCGACAATATTCCGAATCACCAGGGTTTTTTTTTCCTTTCGCCAATTCATTATTAAAATTTATTGCTTATTATTAAAACAAAAAAATGGTAATGATAAAGTAAAATTTTAAAAAATATTAAGATTTATGTTTAGATAACTGTTAGAAAATAATTAAAATATTTTCTTATTTCTAAACAAAAAATTATTTCACTTATATATATATTAATCATAAATAATTAGTTAGTAGTATAATTATTTATACCTATTTAATCACATAAATATTGGTACAAAGGGGCACCAAATATATATGCGCCGCACAAATCTCATTTGATTTGTGTGAGGGCTGAGATACTGCCCAGACTGAAGTAGGTGGTTTTCTTAGGGGGCCACACCCAGAGCCTTTGACTGAAAGATCTGATCCACAAGGTAGTGGAGCATCGTGAGGAGATGCAGTCCCATGGTAGCCGGTGACGAACAATTGGTTCATACGCCATTCGTTCCTTCAGGATACTGGAGCCCATGTGCACCATTGGCTTGGAATCAGGGTTTTCCAACTACCCTAGATGGTCTTTCCATGTCCACCAACCCGGTTAAAGCGCCGGACATTCGCTTTTCGTCCTCTCACTTTCGTAAACAACAGTAGTGCCACGAGAAGGCAGTGAGTAGGACTTCCCTGGCAGAGGCTTTATATTCGCGTGGCCATGTGAGAGCATTTCGGCCGTACCAGGGCATTTGGGAGTGTTAGTAATATAATGAAAATTCTAGTTATATGTATAGAATATTAAAATGAAATTGTTTTGATTCAACAGTAATTGATGCGGTTTATTACATAATTGAAGATGAATATAGGAAAATTATTATTCTGAAATCATTGGAATTTATCAATAAGACATGTTTAGAACTTTAAGAGAAGAAAAAAGTCTACTTGGTTCTTTATTTACTAAAAAGTTCATATTTGTCTCCAGATTCTTCAATTAAAAAGTTGCGTTCTAAACTTAATGGATATAATTCAGTCAGGACTTATGGCTAGATAACGTCGTTACATTCATTGTTCTTCAGTGTGTAGTTGGTTTAGTTCATGTCTCTAAAAATATCACTAATTATATGGAATAGACATTTTATGAAAAGAATTTGCAAAATCTCATTTCACTGTTATTAAGGACTCGTAATTTTCCTTTATTGACATTTAGCACTGCAAGTGGTCAGTCTATGTTACTGTATGTGCGTTCTGAGCAGATTGCCTCGATATAACATTGTGCTACAAATCTTAATAGACGAAGTATATGGTTACCTGTAGAATCTAAGATGCGTTTTAGTTTCTATTTCGGAGTCTTCAGCTGGATGTACCTGTATCCTAATGTTGATATCCACACTGAAAGTTGAACCCAATATCTTTCACTTCAAATGCCCATCGCGTTATAAACTGAGCTATTGAATCTAGATTTCATTTCCCTGATCTCAATAGATGGATTACCCGAAAAGCAAGGAGCAGATAATTTGACATTGGGAAACTGTAATCACAATATGAAGAGCTTAATTAGACGTAACGTGATTAGTGGATATGATAAACGGTGATGATAATCATAATAAAAAAGTAACAAATTAAGAAGCAATGAGAATAAATAGTTGATGAAACTCTTTTGTTTTGAGGGAAGTCAGTCAGTCAGTTACAACGTAGAACTTCGTACGTACGTACATCAGTTCGAGTTGCCATACCACATTAGCACAGAGATGAAGTTGTCGATTCAAATCCCATATTGGTAGAAGTAGTAAGAGTATAAGTATTATGTGAAAGATAAGGGTTTGAAGATGTTATTGGAGTATAATGCGGTGAAATAAATTTGGAAAGAGAAAAAGGATACGAACATGAAAAATTCAGAAGAATGGAAGTCACTCTCATTGATATGTCACTCGTTACTACAATCACAAAGTATAATTTTGCTAAAAAGTTCTATACAAAACAAATTCTGACCCAGTGGTTTAATAGAAAATTGACTTACAGTTTTGTGAGACTATTGAGTTTGAGGGGTTACAGATAACTTCGATGCAAATGTTCACTGGTTTTCCTAGTAAATACCAGATTGAGTCAATCACACTCTGAATTAAAGGATCCGACTACATGTTCCAATGAATTTCTTTTATGTTTTCGAAGTTTCGATGATGTTAAACTA